TGAACAAAAATATAAACGCAAAATTGCAAAAATGTAATAGATTTTACTGAGTTACAGTTCATATAAGGAAATCTGTCAATTGAAATAAATTCATTAGGCCCTAATCTGTGGATTTCACATGACTGGAAATACAGATATGCATCTGTTGGTCACAGATACCTTTAAAAAAAAAAAAGGTAGTGGCGTTGATCAGAAAACCAGTCAGTATCTGGTGTGACCACCATTTGCCTCATGCAGCGCGACACATCTCCTTCACATAGAGTTGATCAGGCTGTTGAATGTGGCCTGTGGAATGTTGTCCCACTCCTCTTCAATGGCTGTGCAAAGTTGCTGGATATTGGCGGGAACTAGAAGATGCTGTTGTACACGTCAATCCAGAGCATCCCAAACATGCTCAATGGGTGACATGTCTGGTGAGTATGCAGGCCATGGAAGAACTGGGACATTATCAGCTTCCAGGAATTGTATACAGATCCTTGTGACATGGGGCCATGCATTATCATGCTAAAACATGAGGTGATGGCGGCGGATGAATGGCACGACAATGGGCCTCAGGATCTCATCATGTATCTCTGTGCAATCAAATTGCCATTGATAAAATGCAATTGTGTTCCTTGTCTGTAGCTTATAACTGCCCACAGCATAACCCCACCGCCACCATGGGTCACTCTGTTTAAAACGTTGACATCAGCAAACCGCTCGCCCTGCCCAGTACAGTTCAAACTGGGATTCATCCGTAAAGAGCACACTTCTCCAGCATGCTAGTGGCCATAGAAAGTTACCATTTGCCCACTGAAGTCGGTTACGATGCCGAACTGCAGTCAGGTCAAGACCCTGGTGAGGACGACGAGCACGCAGATGAGCTTCCCTGAGACGGTTTCTGACAGTTTGTGCAGAAATTCTTCGGTTGTGCAAACCCAGAGTTTTATCAGCTGTCCGAGTGGCTGGTCTCAGACGATTCCGCAGGTGAAGAAGCCGGATGTGGAGGTCCTGGGTTGTCGTGGTTACACATGATCTGCAGTTTTGAGGCTGGTTGGACGTACTGCCAAATTCTCTAAAACAACGTTAGAGGTGGCTTATGGTAGAGAAATTAACAGTCAATTCTCTGGCAACAGCTCTGGTGGACATTCCTGCATTCAGCATGCCAATTGCATGCTCCGTCAAAACTTGAGACATCTGTGGCATTGTGTTGAGACATCTGTGGCATCTGTAACATTTTAGAGTGGCCTTTTATTGTCCCCAGCACAAGGTGCACCTGTGTAAGGATCATGCTGTTTAATCAGCTTCTTTGTATGCCACACTTGTCAGGTGGATGGATTATCTTGGCAAAGGAGAAATGCTCACAAAAGGGATGTAAACTAATTTGTGCACAACATTTTAGAGCAATAACATTTTAGTGCGTATGGAACATTTATGGGATCTTTTATTTTAGCTCATGAAACATGGGACCAACACTTTACATTTTACGTTTATATTTTTGTTCGGTATATATGTGTAATGATGTCATGTCATAGTATTGTGAGGACCGAGGTAGAGTTATGAGATAATTGGTTTGGTTCCACTGAGTCTACATTCCTTATGTCAAAGGAGATTACTGATGTTTATGGCAGTATGATTGATGGACAGGATATAATGACCTGGGGCAAAGGGTAATAACAACAGAGGAGGGGAGTGCCTATGATGGTTGCCAGATGTATGTGAAAGGAAGGATAACCAAGAGTATAAAGGAGGTGAGATTTGTGTGTGTTGGCAGTTCAATTGACAAAGGGCAGAGCTATATCCGTTTGTTAGATGAACCCACAGGCTCGTGATCAAATAAATACTTGGTAAAATCTCCACAGAATGTCTAAGTAAATTCTTGCATCTTGAACTTCTCAATACCAGAAACTCATCATAACAACATGGGAAGACCGGAAATGGTTGTCTAGCAATGATCAACAACCAATTTGACAGAGCTTGAAGAATTTTGAAAAGAATAATGGGCAAATGTTGCACAATCCATGTATGGAAAACTCTTAGCGACTTACCTAGAAAGACTCACAGCTGTAATCTCTGCCAAAGGTGCTTTTACAAAGTATTAAGTCAGGGGTGTGAATACTTATGTAAATGAGATATTTCTGTTTTTCATTTTAAATACATATGCAAAAATTTGTAAAAACATGTTTTCACTTTGTAATTATTAAGTATTTTGTGTAGATGGGTATGAAAAAAATAATCTATTTAATCAATTTGGAATTCAGGCTGTAACACAACAAAATGTAGAATAAGTCAAGTGGTATGAATACTTTCCCCTAGATAAAAAATTGCATTATTACAACAACAAAATTAACCGGCCCAAGCGGGCCACTGACCGGGATGATCGACTGGCCCGGAGGGTTTCCAAAACCTTCCCTGTATTTGGAGCCCTGACACACACAGACGGGCATTCCTGTGTCGTTGTTGCCTCTTCAGAAAGTTGGTTTATTTTTGGTCAATTGCACATTACTGTTTGAAAAGATCATGAGGATAAGAAAATGCTCATTTTGAACCAAAAACTAACGTGACCAGGTCCATTTTTTTCACTGGCACCCTTGCGACCAGTTAAGAATGTGTCTCACTGCGAAGTGAAACAGTCGCAAATGCGACTGTTTTGGTCGAAGTATTGAACCCTGTCGGTGAAGCGTAGCAGATGAGCGTACGACTGGAAAACATGTAGCTTTCTGAGCAAGTATTTGAGGAAGCACTAACTAAAACTTCCAATATTCACAGGATAGCTTCTTGCCACAAAGTCGACAGACACCACATACCAATTTTTTGGTGTCAAGTTTGTCAGAGATTCCATTATTGCTAGATAACGCAAGCTAGTATCTGGCTAGCAGCTAGCAACGGCACATTTGCTAGCTTGCGCTCTGAAGTTGTTTCTGTCAGGAATATTAACAAGGCGACACTCTGTCTTAACCCCTCCTCCACATTTGCTGGATTGGTTGAACAGTGCAGAAGAGAACCGACCCCGACAGTTTCTCGTCATATGGGACAGTTAGTTTCAGGTGTTTATTTGTGAACTGTAGTGTACAACAAAATTGTTTACCAATAAATGTACTCACCTAGAGCTTTGCATTTCTTACATAAACTGTAGTTGTACCTAACTATTTGTTACTCCTAATACTACTACAAGATTAGAACTGTTTTGAAATCATGTGCATCTACAATGGCTATTACTGCAGCCCTGGTAATGGCTCATTTACAAAGGCCAAGTGCCTTATTCCCTGTATCATTTATTTTTCCATTGTTTCCTCATATATTCATGATCCTTTCATAAGGCCGTGTTATTTTCCTCTACCACAGAGTGAAACCTCGCATTGATTTTCCACCAAAGATGAGCAATCCATTTTTCTTCTCATAATAGGGACATGATTGATGGCTCCACTGAGATGGCACCTCAGTCAAATTCACTCTCCTCCTCCTCCTCCCACTATATTTCACTCTGCTTCCTGCTGCCAAATCAACGGGATTGTTCAGCAGCCAGAAACCCATCCAGAGAGGATCATATTCGTATTGCATGTATTCAGGGAACTGTGTGCTCTGTTCAGAAAGAACAATAGCTACTGCTGCTCCTGGTGGTATTAATAGTCCCAAGGCTGAATACTGAGTATGTGTAGCTGCTGTGGACCAGATTTATGGAAACCTATTCAGTTCTATAAAGTCACTTTGTAAATGGTGATTTCGCTTTGTTTCTCAATCAAAGACAATCAATTCACTTTGCATCTGAGGATCAAACTGGCTAATAAGTAAATTAGTTAGAACAGAACAAAGAATGCTATCCTGAATTCATGAAAATATGAGCGATGTGCCGGAGATTACATCTATGTATTACATAGATGGGGCGGCAGGTAGCTTAGTGGTTAAGAGCGTTGTGCCAGTAACCGAAAGGTCGCTGGTTCTGATCCCTGAGCCGACTAGGTGAAAAATCTGTTGATGTGCCCTTGAGCAAGGCACTTAACCCTAATTGCTCCTGTAAGTCGCTCTGGATAAGAGCGTCTGCTAAATGACTAAAAAAGAAAACATTTGCCAGCTTGTCTTTTGTTACATGCATCTATTCCCCCCTGCATTCCCCACTGCTGTACATCCTGTCATAGTATTCTCACAGAGATACAGAGAGCAGACAAAGGTTGCAGCCGCAATGCCAGTACAGGGCTGGCTGACTCACTGTTGAGTAAAAAAGAAACACGCCTTAAGTCTTTGTACAGTAGAGTTATGTGATGGGTGAATATGAATTAATCCGGTTATTTTCAAGGTCCCATGGAATACAATGTTCTCTAAAGCTTTTAATCAAAGTCATTATAATATTGAGTCCAAAGTGCATTATGAAGACAATGACCGGCATACTCGAAACACATTTTGAAAATGATAAGTGCATGCTGCCTAATGTGTGCATTGATTGAAACAATATATTTTTTGGTCTGCACCTTAATTGTTAGCAATGACAGGCTACTTCTAGACTGGATAACTCTAACACAATGTCAGGCCTGGTCTTATGTAACCTCACTCAGAGTATTGTTACACTTATGTTCAGCAAGTGGACTGCTACAGTAGGTAGGTGAGGGCTTTAACATCCAGCAGGAGCCTATTACAATTGTGCCATTTAGAGCTAACAGTGAAATGCTTACTTAAGTGCCCTTCACAACAATGCAGAGAGGAAAATTTAGAAATAATAGAAAAATAATAACACGAGGAATAAATACACAATGAGTAACGATAACTTGGCTATATACACGGGGTAAGTACCGAGTCGATGTGCAGGTGTATGAGGTAATTGAGGTAGACGTGTATATATAGGTAGGGATAAAGTGACTAGGCAACGGGATAGATAATAAACAGTAGCAACAGCGTATGTCATGGTGCTCTTATTCAGTTGTTTAGTAGTGAGATGGAACTCATACCTATGACCGCAGCACAGCCATGCACAAAAAAAAAAAGTTGTTTAGCATGCCCTCTCATTTACAATTGCTTTAATGTGTATTGTAGCAACAATATGCTCTGTCTTGTTAACAGGTGGTGTTGGTGTGATATCCCTGTGAAGGGCAGGAGCTGCCATGCCATTTGGCTGTTTGACACTCGGGGAGAATAAGGATTATAACAATCCCTCAGAGGTGACCGATAAATATGACCTTGGACAAATTGTCAAATCGTGAGTATTCCTTCACAATGCTTAAACGACTGTTACATTCTGTATTCTGGGACTGTGACTAAATAGTAAAACATATGCTTTTTCCATTCAGTATAGATTTTACCGTTTTAAAATGTTTATTTAGTTTGTTATTGTGTGTGGTCCTTATTAAGGGAGGAGTTCTGTGAGATCTTCAGAGCTAAGGACAAGAACACACTCAAAATGTTCACCTGTAAAAAGTTTCTGAAAAAGGATGGGAGGAAAGTGAGGAAAGCTGCCAAGAATGAGATCCTGATCTTGAATATGTGAGTGAAATTCAGTTTTAGCTTATGCATTAATGCAGAGCTTTATCCTTGGCATCTGAAATGCCACAGGAAATCATGAATCATTGTGTGTTATAATTATCTATAGTTTTACAACACCATAGAGATAGTTAACAGAAATTAGTTAATAATGGTTACTAATTACTGACATTATTGTTTCTTTAACATCCCCATAATGTTTCCATAACATCACCATAACATTCCCATAACACCACTCCTGTTCAGCTTGAATTATCCATTAGCCTTTAACAAATAGTTACAATAACGCAATATCTCTTGAGCAGTCCAGTATTGAATTTGAAGTAGGATCTGTAATGAAAGAGCCACAGAGCCATCAGTTATTGAAAAAAATGATATTAAAATGTAATTAAAACAATTGGGATTACATTAATTAAAACATTAATTAACTTAAAACTGTGAATAAAATATGCCAATCAAGATTCCTTGAAAGGCCTAATTAAATGTATTATTAGGATGTCAGTGGATTACTTCTGTAGTGAGACCAATCTCTAGTTTGAATTCATTAATCAGAATTTCACTGGAATTGGAAATGGTCCACTCTCCATACATATTGAAATATAATCATTAAGCCACTCCTACAATATCACAAGTAATGTCAGTTTTTAATGCCTATTTGTAAATGTTTGTCTATGGGGAGAGTGGGGTAAGTTGAGCCATTTTTTACATTCAGCAGCACTCCGTCAAGGGAAATATTGTATTATTTCTAACAAAGATATCTACATACAGTATATTTCAGGATGTTGTGTATTCCCCCAAAATTCATATAAACATCACAGTTTTGAAAACATAGCTTGTCCCAAAAAAGTGGTCTCTGACACAATTTACCCCGGGTATGGTGTAAGTTAAGCCGCCTTCAAATGTATGTACTGAATGAAATATTACCACTATCTTTTTAAAACCATGTCTATCTTTATATCTATATTCCCCAATAACAATTGCTTTTTTGTCTTTAAATCATTTTAAGCATCTTTTAACACAGGCTTAACACCTAACAGTTTGTACTTTTTTGAAACACTTTTGACATAGGCCAGGCCCTGTTGTTACCTCATTTCCCAGTGATAATGCCTTTCATTATGCCTTGGAAGAAAACACTTACACTACCAGTCAAAAGTTTGGAAACACCTACTCATTTAAGGGTTTTTCTTTATTTTTTAATTTTTTTACATTGTTGAATAATAGTGAAGACATCAAAACTATGAAATAACACATATGGAATCATTTAGTAACCAAAAAAGTGTTCAACAAATCAGAATATATTTTATATTTATATATTATACTCTTGGCATTCTCTCAACCAGCTTCATGAGGTAGTCACCTGGAATGCATTTCAATTAACAGGTGTGCCTTCTTAAAAGTTAATTTGTGAATTTGTTTTCCTTCTTAATGCGTTTGAGCCAATCAGTTGTTTTGTGACATGGTAGGGGGGTATACAGAAGATAGCCCTATTTGGTAAAAGTCCATATTATGGCAAGAACAGCTCAAATAAGCAAAGAGAAACGACTGTCCATCATTACTTTAAGACATGAAGGTCAGTCAATACGGAAAATGTCAAGAACTTTGAAAGTTTCTTCAAGTGCAGTCGCAAAAACCATCAAGCGCTATGATGAAAATGGCTCTCATGAGGACCGCCACAGGAATGGAAGACCCAGAGTTAACTTTGCTGCAGAGGATAAGTTCATTAGAGTTACCAACCTCAGAAATTGCAGCCCAAATAAATGCTTCACAGAGTTCAAGAAACAGAAACATCAACTGTTCAGAGGAGACTGTGTGAATCAGGCCTTCGTGGTCTAATTGCTGCAAAGAAACCACTACTAAAGGACACCAATAAGAAGAAGAGACTTGCTTGGGCCAAGAAACACGAGCAATGGACATTAGACCAGTGGAACTTTGTCCTTTGGTCTGGAGTCCAAATTTGAGATTTTTGGTTCCAACCGCTGTGGCTTTGTGAGACGCGTGTGGGTGAACGGATGATCTCCGCATGCGTATTTCCACCCGTAAAGCATGGAGGAGGAGGTGTTATAGTGTGGGGGCGCTTTGCTGGTGACACTGTTTGTGATTTATTTAGAATTCAGGGCACACTTAACCAGCATGGCTAACACAGCATTCTGCAGCTATATGCCATCCCATTTGGTTTGTGCTTAGTGGCACTATCATTTGTTTTTCAACAAGACAATGACCCAACACACCTCCAGGCTGTGTAAGAGCCAAGAAGGAGAGTGATGGAGTGCTGCATCAGATGACCTGGCCTCCTCAATCCCCCAACCTCAACCCAATTGAGATGGTTTGGGATGAGTCGGACCGCAGAGTGAAGGAAAAGCAGCCAACAAGTGCTCAGCATATGTGGGAACTCCTTCAAGACTGTTGGAAAAGCATTCCAGGTGAAGCTGGTTGAGAGAATGCCAAGAGTGTGCAAAGCTGTCATCAAGGCAAAGGTGGCTATTTGAAGAATCTCAAATATAAAATATATTTTGATTTGTTTAACACTTTTTTGGTTACTACATAATTCCATATGTTATTTCATATCCGATCCGGGACTCGAGCAGGTCCAGATCCAGAATTCTAAATAATGTCACAGGTCTGGGTCAGATCTGATATAATTGTCACAGGTCTCAGGTATGTGTAATTTTACATATCTGAACCCGAATGCTGCAGTAGATAGAGAGAGAGAGAGAGAGAGAGAGAGAGAGAAGAGAGAGAGAGAGAGAGATAGAGAGAGAGAGCCTAGAGAGCGAGAGATAGAGAGAGATAAGAGAGAGCGAGAGAGCGATCGAAGATATATATAGATCTACTATAGATAGCTCTCCTCTCTTAGCTATCCTATACTAGCTCTCTCGACTCTCTCTCTCTCCTCTCTCTCTCGTCTATCTCGTCGTCTCTAGAGAGAGAGAGTGAGTATAATTTATTCTGCTGACATTTTCACGAGAGTAGCACGTGTAGCTTGTTGTTGGCCAATCATAAGTCATCAAAGTGTCATAGAGCCTCCTTATGTAGCAAAAGTTAGGAGATAGATTACATGACCAAAAGTATTTTGACACCTGCTCGTCAAACATCTCATTCCAAATCATGGGCATTAATACAGTTGAAGTCGGAAGTTTACATACACTTAGGTTGGAGTCATTAAAAATAGTTTTTCAACCACTCCACAAATGTATTGTTAACAAAGTCTGTTAGGACATCTACTTTGGTCATGACACAAGTTATTTTTCCAACAATTGTTTACAGACAGATTATTTCACTTATAATTCACTGTTTCACAATTCCAGTGGGCCAGAAGTTTACATACACTAAGTTGGCTGTGCCTTTAAACAGCTTGGACAATTCCAGAAAATGATGTTGTGGCTTTAGAAGCTTCTGGTAGGCTAATTGACATCATTTGATTCAATTGGAGGTGTACCTGTGGATGTATTTCAAGGCCTACCTTCAAACTCAGTGCCTCTTTGCTTGACATCATGGGAAAATGAAAAGAAATCAGCCAAGACCTCAGAAAGAAAATTGTAGACCTCCACAAGTCTGGTTCATCCTTGGGAGCAATTTCCAAATGCCTGAAGGTACCACGTTCATCTGTACAAACAATAGTACGCAAGTATAAACACCATGGGACACGCAGCCGTCATACCACTCAGGAAGGAGACGCGTTCTGTCTCCTAGAGATGAACGTACTTTGGTGCGAAAAGTGCAAATCAATCCCAGAACAACAGCAAAGGACCTTGTGAAGATGCTGGAGGAAACAGGTACAAAAGTATCTATATCCACAGCAAGGAAGAAGCCACTGCTCCAAAACCGCCATAAAAAAGCCAGACTACGGTTTGCAACTGCACATGGGGACAAAGATCTTACTTTTTGGAGAAATGTCCTCTGGTCTGATGAAACAAAAATAGAACTGTTTGGCCATAATGACCATCGTTATGTTTGGAGGAAAAAGGGGGTGGCTTGCAAGCCGAAGAACACCATCCCAACCGTGAAACACGGGGGTGGCAGCATCATGCTATGGGGGTGCTTTGCTGCAGGAGGGACTGGTGCACTTCACAAAATAGATGGCATCATGAGGAGGGGAAATTATGTGGATATATTGAAGCAACATCTCAAGACATCAGTCAGGAAGTTAAAGCTTGGTTGCAAATGGGTCTTCCTAATGGACAATGACCCCGAGCATACTTCCAAAGTTGTGGCAAAATGGCTTAAGGACAACAAAGTCAAGGTACTGGAGTGGCCATCACAAACCCCTGACCTCAATCCTTTAGAAAATGTGTGGGCAGAACTGAAAACGCGTGTGCGAGGAAGGAGGCCTACAAACCTGACTCAGTTACACCAGCTCTGTCAGGAGGAATGGGCCAAAATTCACCCAACTTATTGTGGGAAGCTTGTGGAAGGCTACCCGAAATATTTGACCCAAGTTAAACATTTTAAAGGCAATGCTACCAAATACTAATTGAGTGTTTGTAAACTTCTGACCCACTAGGAATGTGATGAAAGAAATAAAAGCTGAAAGAAATTATTCTCTCTACTATTATTCTGACATTTCACATTCTTAAAATAAAGTGGTGATCCTAACTGACCTAAGACAGTGAATTTTTACTAGGATTAAATGTCAGGAATTGTGAAAAACTGAGTTTAAATGTATTTGGCTAAGGTGTATATAAACTTCCGACTTCAACTGTATGTGGTTGGTCCCCCCTTTGCTGCTATAAAAGCCTCCACTCTGAGAAGGCTTTACACTAGATGTTAGAACATTGCTTCAGGGACTTCCTTCCATTCAGCCACAAGAGCATTAGTGAGGATGGGCACTGAAGTTGGGCAATTAGGCCTGGCTCGCAGTCAGCGTTCCAATTCATCCCAAAGGTGTTCGATGGGGATGAGATCAGGGCTCTGCGTAGGCCAGTCAAGTTCTTCCACACCGATCTCGACAAACCATTTCTGTATGGACCTCGCATTCTGAAACAGGAAAGGGCCTACCCCAAACTGTTGCCACAAAGTTGGAAGCACAGAATCGTCTAGAATGTTATTGTATGCTTGTAGCGTAAAGATTTGCCTTCAATGGAACTAAGGGGGCTAGCTCAAACCATAAAAAACAGCCCCAGACCATTATTCCTCCTCCACCAAACTTTACAGTTGGCACTATGCATTTGGGCAGGTAGCATCCGCCAAACCCAGATTTGTCCGTCGGACTGCCAGATGGTGAAGCGTGATTCATCACTCCAGAGAACGTGTTTCCACTGCTCCGTCTAATGTCTAATGGCGGAGAGCTTTACACCACTCCAGCCGACGCTTGGCATTGCGCATGGTGATCTTAGGCTTGTGTGCGGCTGGTCGACCATGGAAACCCATTTCATGAAGCTCCCGAAGAACAGTTCTTGTGCTGATGTTGCTTCCAGAGGCAGTTTGGAACTTGGTAGTGAGTGTTGCAAATGAGGACAGACGATTTTTACGCACTATGCACTTCAGCACTCGGCGGTCCCGTTTTGTGACCTTTTGTGGCCTACCACTTCGTGGCTGAGCCGTTGTTGCTCCTATAGGTTTCCACTTCACATTAACAGCACTTACAGTTGACCAGGGCAACTCTAGCGGGGCAGAAATTGTAAAAAAGTGCCATCCTATGACGGTGCGACGTTGAAAGTCACTGAGCTCTTCAGTAAGACCATTCTACTGCCAATGTTTGTCTATGGAGATTGCATGGCTGTGTGCTCAACAGGTGTGGCTGAAATAGCAGAATCCAGTAATTTAAAGGGGTGTCCACATACTTTTGTATATATAATGTATCTAATCAATGGAAGATGGAATTAAAATTACAGAATTAAAAGTTAAAGGAGAAGGATAGGCTACAATGACCAAGAGCCAACAGGTAGGCTGCTACTTAATATTCTGAATTGAGTTGTTGTTATTTGTAACTGTAGGAAGAGAAAGTGCATGCACTGCAGCCTTAATTAGCGTAGCTCGCTAGCTAGTTTATCTACAGTGAACAAAAATATAAAAGCAACATGTAATGTGTTGGTCCCATGTTTCATGAGCTGAAATAAAAGATACCAGACATTTTCCATAAGCACAAAAAGCTTATTTCTCTCAAATGTTTTGCACACATTTGTTTACTCATCACCATCACCTCATGTTTGAGCATGATAATGCACGGCCCAATGTCACAAGGATCTGTACACAATTCCTGTAAGCTACAAATGTCTGAGTTCTTCCATGGCCTGCATACTCACCAGACATGTCACCCATTGAACATATTTGGGATGCTCGGGATCGACTTGTACGACAGCGTGTTCCAGTTCCCGCCAATATCCAGCAACGTCGCACAGCCATTTGAAGAGGAGTGGGACAACATTCCACAGGCCACAATCAACAGCCTGATCAACTCTATGCGAAGGAGATGTGTCGCGCTGCTTGAGGCAAATGGTGGTCACACCAGATACTGACTAGTTTTCTGATCCACGCCCATACCTTTTTATTAAAAGTATCTGTGACCAACAGATGCATATCTGTATTCCCAGTAATGTGAAATCCATAGATTAGGGCCTAACAAATTAATTTTATTTGACACATTTCCTTATATGAACTGTAAAATCTTTGAAATTGTTACATGTTGCGTTTATATTTTTGTTCAGTGTATCTTCTTGGTTTGATGTATTCAAGACTGGTACTACGTAATCATATTGGATGATAAATAACCTAACTCTACCATAGAGTCGGCTTGGTTGGTTGCTGTCTCTCATCTCTCCCTCCCTTCTCCCTGCTCCCCATGTCACTCGCTCACAGTAGCACGCCCCCTTCCCCGCCTGCTAGAGCAGCATCTCTCTCTCCCTCCTCTACCTCGCGCTTTATCAGCTCCGGTTAATAAAGTAGCTTAAAAACGTGACTTTTCTGCTGCTTCTCTCACTCGGATCGGGTCTGGATCCGACCAGGTCTATACAGAACGGGTCTAGTTAGTTATTCATTTTTTGGACCTAACTTGCTTACCACTTCTTCCATGTGGTTTCTTCCTTCGCAGACTCCATGAAATGATAACCTCTTCTTAAATATTTGGTCAAATTATAAATTTTAAGTATGGTTTCCCAGAAACAAGGGTGGCTCAACTTACCCCTTTGGCTCAACTTACCCCACTCTCCCCTACTGATTTTATTTTGTGCATGAGTAGGCATTTCATAATCTGAATTTCACTTAAATTAGAAATGGTCCAATTCTCTAATGATTATTAAATCATTAAACCACATACAAATGATCAAATGTAATGTATTTTGATGATTGCTAGTTAATCTTGGCTTATAATTGCTTGATAAATAATATTGTTTATGTCTTTCTCTGTTTTCCTTTTTAACAGGGTAAAACATCATAACATCCTCCAGCTGGTTGATGTCTTTGAAACTAGAAAGGAGTACTTCCTCTTCCTGGAGCTGTGAGTGTTATTGGAAATTATTGAATGACGTTGGTTAGTTGTTTTGGTTAGTTGTTTTGTTGTACTCATTCCCTTGAAGTCATTGTGGTGCCGTCCCAATGATTACACCATTTTACGGAGAGTACAAAAAGACTGCAGACTTTCCAATGCATGCTTCCCTTTCTGAACCCCTGTGTGAAATGTCTATTTTCCATATTCTGCAGGAGAATCTCATTTTAGTCATCTCATCTGAGAGTTGATTTGATTTCTTGAGTGTTGCAAGAGAACTACAGTACATTTGAATGATACGACATATGACAGTGGTTTTCTCTGGATGTTCTTCTCTGCAGAGCTACAGGCAGAGAGGTCTTTGACTGGATCTTAGACCAAGGCTACTACTCAGAGAAGGACACCAGCAACGTTGTCAGACAGGTGTTGGAAGCCGTGGCCTATCTGCACTCCCAGAGAATTGTCCACAGGAACCTCAAGGTATACTTTACACACAGGACACTGCTCCCATCTGGTGTTGTATAGAGGCTATTACACCACAGGCCATTCAGTTGGGTGCCAGCATTAGAAATGAAGCTACTTTGCCCTCTGCCTTGATTTTTATTCAATTCAATGGCACCCTGAGTAATTGTTTAACCTGACAATTATGTATATTTTTGTAATGCTTTCTACAAAAATGAATTATGATGTATTCAAATGTACACTTTGTTTTGTCTCACACAGCTGGAGAACTTGGTGTACTTCAACCGCCTGAAGCACTCTAAAATAGTGATCAGTGACTTCCACCTGGCCAAGCTGGAGAACGGACTCATCAAGGACCCCTGTGGAACCCCAGAGTACCTTGGTGAGGGGGTAGGGAAGAGGGCAGATCATAGACTTATGGGGGCAGATGGATTTGGCATGAGAGTGGTACAAGTCTTTGGCCAACTTTAGAGCTGTACACCATCTTGCTACCTCTGGGCATTCCATTTTTCTATTCATAAAATATTGGATACTGTGTGTCTTCCTGCAGCTCCTGAGGTGGTGGGACGTCAGAGGTATGGAAGGCCAGTGGACTGCTGGGCCATCGGGGTCATCGTGTATATTCTGTGAGTGTTCTTTATCACCTACAGTTGAAGTCGGAAGTTTACATACACCTTAGCCAAATACATTTAAACTCAGTTTTTCACAATTCCTGACATTTAATCATGGTAAAAAATTCCTTGTCTTAGGTCAGTTAGGATCACCACTTTATTTTAAGAATGTGAAATGTCAGAATAATAGTAGAGAGAATGATTTATTTCAGCTTTTATTTCTTTCATCACATTCCCAGTGGGTCAGAAGTTTATATACACTCAATTAGTATTTGGTAGCATTGCCTTTAAATTGTTTAACTTGGGTCAAACGTTTCGGGTAGTCTTCCACAAGCTTCCCACAATAAGTTGGGTAAGGTTTGTTGGCCTCCTTGCTCGCACATGCTTTTTCAGTTCTGCCCACAAATATTCTATAGGATTGAGGTCAGGGCTTTGTGATGGCCACTCCAGTACCTTGACTTTGTTGTCCTTAAACCATTTTGCCACAACTTTGGAAGTATGCTTGGGGTCATTGTCCATTAGGAAGACCCATTTGCGACCAAGCTTTAACTTCCTGACTGATGTCTTGAGATGTTGCTTCAATATATACACATAATTTCCCTTCCTCATGATGCCATCTATTTTGTGAAGTGCACCAGACCCTCCTGCAGCAAAGCACCCCCACAGCATGATGCTGCCACCCCCGTGCTTCACGGTTTGGATGGTTTTCTTCTGCTTGCAAGCATCCCCCTTATTCCTCCAAACATAACGATGGTCATTATGGCCAAACAGTTCTATTTTTGTTTCATCAGACCAGAGGACATTTCTCCAAAAAGTACGATCTTTGTCCCCATGTGCAGTTGCAAACCGTAGTCTGGTTTTTTTATGGCGGTTTTGGAGTAGTGGCTTCTTCCTTGCTGAGCGGTCTTTCAGGTTATGTCGATTTAGGACTCGTTTTACTGTGGATATAGATACTTTTGTACCTGTTTCCTCCAGCATCTTCACAAGGTCCTTTGCTGTTGTTCTGGGATTTATTTGCGCTTTTTGCACCAAAGTACGTTCATCTCTAGGAGATAGAACGCGTCTCCTTCCTAAGCGGTATGACGGCTGCCTGGTCCCATGGTGTTTATACTTGCGTACTATTGTTTGTACAGATGAACGTGGTACCTTCAGGCGTTTGGAAATTGCTCCAAAGGATGAACCAGACTTGTGGAGGTCTACAATTTCTTTTCTGAGGTCTTGGCTGATTTCTTTTGATTTTCCCATGATGTCAAGCAAAGAGGCACTGAGTTTGAAGGTAGGCCTTGAAATACATCCACAGGTACACCTCCAATTGACTCAAATGATGTCAATTAGCCTATCAGAAGCTTCTAAAGCCATGACATCATTTTCTGGAATTTTCCAAGCTGTTAAAAGGCACAGTCAACTTAGTGTATGTAAACTTCTGACCCACTGGAATTGTGATACAGTGAATTATAAGTGAAATAATCTGTCTATAAACAATTGTTGGAAAAATTACTTGTGTCATGCACAAAGTAGATGTCCTAACCGACTTGCCAAAACTATATTTGTTAACAAGACATTTGTGGAGTGGTTGAAAAACGAGTTTTAATGACTCCATCCTAAGTGTATGTAAACTTCTGACTTCAACGGTAAGTTCACTTAAGTTTACAGTGTCTTGCACATACAGTACTAATGTCATCGTCCTTCTCAGGTGACTATCAACAGTCTTGTTTTCCCTTTCTCTAGCCTGTCAGGAAACCCCCCTTTCTACGACGAAACGGAAGATGAAGACTATGATAATCATGACAAAAACCTTTTCCGCAAGATTCTGTCAGGAGACTATGAGTTTGACTCACCGTACTGGGATGATATCTCTGACTCAGGTATAAAGCATAATGTAATATCAAATTTTAAAAAAGTACTACGTATCACATTTAGGAACCAGTAAACAGGTAGATGGGAAAAGTAAGGTTTTTAGGGATGTCCACTTTTGTTGCACCAGAAGAGAGAAAGAGCAGATGTGTACTGTATTGTTCTTGTTGATTTCTTCCACAGCAAAAAGCCTGGTGTCATGTCTGATGGAAGTGGAGCAGGATCAAAGACTGACTGCACAGGAGGCCATCAACCATGAATGGTATGGATCCAAGATTGAAATACATACCAATTTCTGTCTTCTCAAGTGTACAGTATGTGTATGTGTTTTGGTGGGTTTTCTGTTTACCTGGCCCTTGTTTCAGGATTTCTGGGAATGCAGCCTCCAATAAGAACATCAGGGATGGAGTGTGTGGGCAAATTGAAAAGAACTTTGCCAAAGCCAAGTGGAAGGTACGCTTCCTTTCTGTCAAACTTTTAAACAAAATGTTTACAACCATATCTGAACTGGGCTACACCGTAGTATGCATATTGCATGAATGTTGTGCATGTGAAGTTCTATTCATTTACTGGACAGTTTGTTCAGTTAGATTAGCCCCGCGCAACTCAGTTGGTAGAGCATGGCGCTTGCAACGCCAGGGTTGTGGGTTCGATTCCCACGGGGGCCAGTATGAAGAAAACAAAAAAAACATGTATTCACTCACTAACTGTAAGTCGCTCTGGATAAGAGTGTCTGCTAAATGACTAAAAATGTAAATGTCTTCTAAAAATATCCTTCTATGGTCTTGGTCTTCCACAGAAAGCTGTAAGGGTCACAACCCTGATGAAGAGGCTTCGAGCTCCAGAACAGAGTGACTCCGGTGCCTCCAGCCCAGTTCCAGGGGCCTCCGCTGGCCCTGTCACCCCTAGCAACACTCCAGTACCCCCAGCTGATGCTTCTGAGGGCACCCCTGCCAGCACAGAGGCCTCAGTCAACCTTCAGGTTCCTGATTCACAGAATGCACCCACCATCATCACTCCTGATTCCCAGCCCCAGCCCAGCCCAGCTCCTGAGGAGCCAGAGGCAGAGCCCCTGGAACGGTGTAACGGGGACTCAGCAGCACCACTCCAAACACCCCCACAAACACAGGAGGATCAGAATGGCTAGACAGAGCAGGACCAGTGTCACCCTACCCTGTAAATAAGGCGCTGGCATGATGATCCATAATCTGCTTTATGCCTAGCCCCACCCACCCTCTTGCAGCATTAGTGCAGCATAATCTCAGTCTGTTTTTTGTTTTTTTTGCCTTTGCTCTGCACCCTGTGATTGTTTGAATGGTCTGTCTATCTTTTGCATTGTTATCGCTCACTCTTTTCCCCTCTAGTTTTGTTGATACTCATCCTTTTGAAAATGTTTCATGAAGTGCAAGGAAGACATACATCTAATATTTGTTTTGAGCAGGTCTCACACTTTCTCTTCACTGAATTACTTTTCATTTGATAGAAATCTAAATTCTATCAATTTATCTATTTGAATCTACATGTTTGTAATGGCCTGCCACCTTGGTTAGAGGGCAACTTAGAGAGCAATCTCAAAATCTGTTTTCTACTGTACCGTACCCAATGTTAGTGAGAAATGGTCTGATAACTGCTTATATTCTCTCTGTATACTCTTTTTTGGAAAGAAGAAGGAAATCTGGTGAGAAAAGCTGTATGCTTGATTATTGGTCCAAATAAAATAGTGTATAGGCCTTTATGAACATTTTGCAAATAGTAGCTCATGTTGTATGTAAGTTTAAGATAGTGTCAAGCCAGTTAAAGAGTGTGTTATTTATGTTTTAAGCATCTTTTAGCTGAGCTGAAGTGCTGCCAAAGTATTATGTAAATCTATGAACTGAGCAATATTTGTATTGCTGTATAAAACTGTGACACTTTTCAGAATTGTTTTTAATTGTGACTGATCAGTATGATTTACATTTTCATATGCCATGACCAGCCAATTCCACCTGATTGCTTTTCAAATGACACATTCGTCATTGATCCTAAAATGTGTTCCTATGTAGGTATGGGACGGTAGAAAATATTTTAAACAGATCATACCCTTTTCACATTATTGTTTTTGCCATTTCATTTTTGCCCATGAATACCTGTAAAGCTGAAAAATATTTTCTTAATTCACTTTGTCTGATTCATATCATGGGAGCCACCACAAAACAAAGTGTGACAAATCAAAGCAATGATTGAATCAATCCTCACACATTTAAAAGAATGCTATATGGTTAATGTATGAATTAATTATTTAACAGTATGCTTTTATTATGTATTTATTTAGCTAATCTACTTGTACATTTTCTTGTATTTTGAGTCATGTCCCATATGTAGTCTGTATTTCTTGACTGTAATCTAAAATAAAATGTATTGGGATTCACAAGTTATCATTTTGATGCACAATGTATAGGTGCTGCATCGATGCCCAAAAGGTGAGTTGCAAGACTGTGTAGGTTTATGGTCCAGAGCAGTTAGCATGTTAACCCATTACACCCTCATCATTTTGCTATTTGATTTTGAATTTTAAGACCCCTTGAAGTAACAAAAAATATATATAAAACAATTATTTCATGAACATTTTTATTAGGCCTTACTGATATTATCCCATACAAACACATTGCATTACAGATTCACTAAATGGAACAACAGATAGTCCCCACAAAAAAATCTAAAGGAAATTTGTTCTGAAGTGTGTCCTATATCTGAGAAACATAAGACATATGTATTTAACCCCTTATTTTTGGCACTGAACAGTCTCCATATATAGTTCAATTAATTATTTTAACTGGTACCTGGGGACCTTCAGAAGAGTCTTGTGAGGCCTGTGGGCGTCAAAACAACCAACATGTACAGTGCATTCGGAAAGTATTCAGACCCCTTGACTTTTTCCACATTTTGTTACGTTACAGCCTTATTCTAAAATGTATTAAATAGTTTTTTTCCCTCATCAATCTACACACAATATCCCGTGATGACAAAGCAAAAACAGGTTTTTAGAAATGTTGGCAAAAAAATAAAAATATCACATTTACATAAGTATTCAGACCCTTTACTAAGTACTTTGTTGAAGCACCTTACAGCCTCGAGTCTTCTTGGTTATGACGCTACAAGCTTGGCACACCTGTATTTGGGGAGTTTCTCCCATTCTACTCTGCAGATCCTCTCAAGCTCTGTCAGGTTGAATGGGGAGCGTCGAAGCACAGCTATTTTCAGGTCTCCAGAGATGTTAGATCAGGTTGAAGTCCGGGCTCTGGCTGGGTCACTCAAGGATATTCAGAGACTTGTCCCGAAGCATCCCCTGCGTTGTTTTGGCTGTGTGCTTATGGTCGTTGTCCTGTTGGAAGGTGAACCTTTGCCCCAGTCTGAGGTCCTGAGTGCTCTGAAGCAGGTTTTCATCAAGGATCTCTCTGTACTTTGCTCCGTTCATCTTTCCCTCAATCCTGACTAGTCTCCCAGTCCCTGCCGCTGAAAAACATCCCCACAGCATGATGCTGCCACCACCATGCTTCACCGTAGGGATGGTGCCAGGTTTCCTCCAGACGTGATGCTTGGCATTCAGGCCAAAGAGTTCAATCTTGGTTTCATCGGACCAGAGAATCTTATTTCTCATGGTCTGAGAGTCCTTTAGGTGTCTTTCAGCAAACTCCAAGCGTGCCTTTTACTGACGAGTGGCTTCCGCCAGGCCACTCTTCCAAAAAGGCCTGATTGGTGGAGGGCTGCAGAGATGGTTGTACTTCTGGAAGGTTCTCCCATCTCCACAGAGGAACTCTGGAGTTCTGTCAGAGTGACAATCGGTTTCTTGGCCATCACCCTGACAAAGGCCCTTCTCCCCCGATTGCTCAGTTTGACCGGGCGGCCAGCTCTAGGATGAGTCTTGGTGGTTCCAAACTTCTCCCATTTAAGAATGATGGAGGCCACTGTGTCCTTGGGGACCTTCAATGTTGCAGACATTTTTTGGTACCCTTCCCCAGATCTGTGCCTTGACACAATCCTGTCTCTGAGCTCTACGGACAATATCTTCAACCTCATGGCTTGGTTTTTGCTCTGACATGCACTGTCAACTGTGGGACCTTATATAGACAGGTGTGTGCCTTTCCAAATCATGTCCAATCAATTGAATTTACCACAGGTGGACTCCAATCAAGTTGTAGAAACATCTCAAGGATGATCAATGGAAACAGGATGCACCTGAGCTCAATTTTTAGTCGCATAGCAAAGGGTCTGAATTACTTATATAAATAAGGTATTTCTGTATTTAATCCATTTTAGAATAAGGCTGTAATGTAATAAAATGTGGAAAACGTCAAGGGTCTGAATACTTTCCGAATGCACTGTACGTGTTCGTGAGTCTCATCTTTCCATAGAGGAGTCATAATAGTTTGTAAGCAAACCGTTCTGACACCACAGAAGACCGATTTTCGGGATTGTCTCATGGTCTGACAAACATCGCTCTAACTCTGTCACCTTTCACCACAGATGCGGAAGTGCGACAGCGGCGGATGGGGTGGATTGATATGCATCCAATACAAAAAACAGATCTAGTATTTCTAGCATAAACTGACAGATTTCTATCAGGATTTTTGTATTATGCTAATTTGATTTCCACAGGGGCGTGGACATCTACTCTAGGGGTTTTAACAGAGAGGAAGAAGCGAAACGAGAGGCTCCACTGCTGTCAACATCTGTCCACGAGAGAATACAGCGATAAGCGGACCAAGTGGGGAGCTGTCTCTGTCCATTCATACATTAGTCACACGCAATATCTTAGACACCACGGGCCCGATTTTGACGAAACTTAGGTGAATGATGCGTCTTGCCATAGAGATCTGGCATTTATGAAATTACACCGATTGGCACAAGGGGGGCGCTATAGTAATCAACTAAAATTCAGAACTTTGAACAAACATATCTCCTGTCCCGTTTGAGCTAGTCATGGCCTTTTGTACATACAGTATATGAATCTCCTCATGGGCAACACGTTTCCCATAAGGACTTATAAGCTCGTCACCATTACATTTTCTGCAAATTAGAGTTTTTGTATCCCACCAAACTTTGAACAAGCATATCTCCTGTCCCTTTTGAGCTACCGTTATGACATTTTGTACATATATGCATCTCCTCATGCGAAACAAGTTTCCCATAAGGATCTATAAGCTCTGCCCATTCACAAAAGGTGAACATTTTGAAAGGGTGTGTAGACTATCTGTAGGCACTGCAATTCCATATAGATACAGTTGAAAATTAATCATGTTGGCAATGTTTCTTTTTGGGAATAATCACATTTATGGATGTCTCCCTACCTTCCTACGTTAGTCACACGCGATATCTCAGACACCACTGTCTGGATTTTGACGAAACTTGGGTGAATGATGTGTCTTGCCAAGGACATCTGACTTTTGTTTATTACACTGATTGGCCCAAGGGGGGCACTATAGTAATCAACTGAAAACTTTCAACAAGCATATCTCCTGTCCCGTTTGAGCTACAGTCATGAAATGGTGTACATATATGCAGCCCCTCATGAGCAACAAGTTTCCCATAACATAAGCTCCGGCCATTAGATCTTCTGCAAATTTGAGTTTTTTTTCTACATTGTAGAATAATAGTGAAGATATCAGAACTATGAAATAACATATATAGAATCATGTAGTAACCAAAAAAGTGTTAAACAAATCAAAAGATATGTTATATTTGAGATTCTTCAAAGTAGCCACCCTTTGACTTGATGACAGCTTTGCACACTCTTGGCATTCTCTCAACCAGCTTCACCTGGAATGCTTTTCCAACAGTCTTGAAGGAGTCCCCACATATGCTGAGCACTTGTTGGCTGCTTTTCCTTCACACTCCGGTCCAACTCTTCCCAAACCATCTCAATTGGGTTGAGGTTGGGGGATTGTGGAGGCCAGATCATCTGATGCAGCACTCCATCACTCTCCTTCTTGGTAAAATAGCCCTTACACTGCCTGGAGGTGTGTTGGGTCATTGTCTCCCGAGTGGTGCAGTGGTCTAAGGCACTGCATCGCAGTGCTAGCTGTGCCACTAGAGATCCTGGTTCGAATCCAGGCTCTGTCGTAGCCGGCCGCGCCTGGGAGACCCATGGGGCGGCGCACAATTGGCCCA